GGCAATCAGACAGTTTCGATGACCGCTCATCTTTTCGGATCACGGAGGTCGACGCGTCCTACAATGCTTCCAGTGGCAGCTGGAAGGCGAGTGCGTAAAAGTAAACGAACAAAAGTCAAACAGGACCAAAGATCGAATGTCTGTGGCAACTGATAGCAATTTCTTCAAATACGGTTAGGAATTTTCAAGTTGAAAAAATACTCTGATGCGAACACAGCCTGCAGCATAAACCTAGCCACATAAGTAGGCATTTCAGGAACTTTTCTTTCGATCATAAGGAGACTTTTCAGTCTGATGATACCTCGTGAGGGCCTGAGGGTCAGTACGTGTCTGTTCCGCATTTTCATGATGTCGCAATTTTTATCACAAAAAATCATTGCTTCGAAAAATACGCACCGTTCCTTGGTCATATTGCCACTTACAGACGGCACAAGTATTGAGAGTAAATTTGAGGGCAATCACGTGTGTTTGAGGGCCTATATGTGTCGAAAATATCTAGGAAAGGCGAGTGCGCACAAGTCGTAATTAGCCAGGAAATTAGTAGAAGCGGAATGAAGACACGAACAGAAGCATGGCACCTCAAATGTCAGACGTGGAGCTGCAGAGTTATATTCCATAGGAGGACTTCAGGCTTCCTTTCTAACTGGAAGTGGAATACATAACGCCATTCTGTGACCGATAGAAACGTACAAAGTCTAACATTAAAGTTTCAATGATAAGAGAAAGAAATGAATTCAACCAAATGAACATGAGCATCAAATTAACCACTAGATATCGAACGAGAAATCAGAAACGGAGAAAACAGTAGTAAGGTCGTCTTTTTTATGCAAAATAGCTTCACGTTTGCATTAACAGTCATTAAGCATGTTTGCTTTGCTGTGTACCCTACCACGTCCAACACACCTTTTTACAATCACTGTTCAAAGCCTGCTTCCTTGAGATTTCCTGTCCTACGCGATTGTTGAGGCAGGCCTCCAGAATCAACATCAACCTTGACGAAATTGATCAGACATGCTATAACGGTACATCAGATATCACGTGAAAGGTCCGGACAGATTCGGTGTTTTATAAGTGCCCACAGTACTTCCCACAGTACGTCATGACTTTTCAGAAACGAAGGAGAAATCGACCAGAAAAAACGGTACTTCTGAAAGCGAAGAAAGAGCAGAGAATGCGTCAGGGCATGGCCAAACGAAACAGACAGAGCCGATGAAGACACGGCGAGTGTCATTACTGTAATGGAATGAATCAGCCATGACAGTACCATATGTGGAACACTACAGTATGGGAAAGCGGGTTGACCCTGACAATTTAGGAGCGGCATGAAAGAGTTAATCAGCGTTGCGGAGAAATGGACGAAGACTCAAGGTTTTGGTCGTGGAATGCACCTTAAACATGGCAAAGGCAAAACTGATGTAACATCAACATACAATGTTGCTGAAGAAAAGTCCCTACCATGACTGTGGGCATTGTCAATTTCACAGCACAACAAATGTTTGAGCCTCTGAGGGAATAGAACCTCATCGCAGCAGATGAGTGCGGACGTGCCATGGTTTCCCAGGAGACGGCAATGACAATGGTCTGACGACAGCGTTCGAACGCCGCTTACAAAGGAGGCCCTAGCTTCTCAACACCGTTAACTTGCTGCATAGTGTCACTGCGGGTTCAGATACAAATTATACGGCGTCTTCTGGCCTGGTTCGAAACTGGCGAGTCAGCAACACGGTCATCCCACGAGTTGATAATGTGTGACTGCACAGTTTCGTCGCTCACCTGATGGAAAAAAATCTGACCAAACAATTTAAATTTCAAAAAAAACTGAACAAAAATTGATACAGATGATTGAGGTATATAACTAGCAGATTAACGACATGCATTATACAAAAAATAATTAATATTGAAGAACACGGAAAGATCGATCGTGCGCATGAATGCTGCCAGCGTCGACAATGAAGAAAAATTCCACGAAAACGACTGTCGCTGAAAGCGAAGTTTTCTGCCAGATTAAAGCGGACAGCCGGACACAGCTGTTAAAAAGGTTTTATAGAAAACGGCCGAAACGCTTCATAAGCTATAAGAAAATGCTCGGTAAAGGATCAGACAGCGAACTGCTGAGGCAAACGAATCGTCGAACAAGAGGTGAAAAGAAAGGATCGGTCAAGCGGCGCAATATCGTAAAAAATCAGCAGTGTTACCACAAATCCCTTGTACCACTCTTTGATCTGCTCTTCGGTGAAGTTCGTGTTTTTCTTCAAAAAATCGAGATCTTCCTTTGACAACTTTGGTCGACTGCTCTTGCCACCCATAGCAGCTAATTTAATGCAAGATCTGCAAAGAAAAATTTATCAGTTAACGACCGCAAGATTAAAGTGACAACGTCACACATCGCACGCAGACAAATTTAAATTGTGAAAGACAACTGAGTTCACGAGGTGAGTTTTCCAAACAGCTTTGGGCAGAACGTCGCAACAAGCGTAGGTTTTAGGTCGTCAGCTGAGATCCGTCGATATAAGAAAAATAATCGAGATAAACAATGACTACGTTATGCAAACAGTCAGCAAATCGATTAGTTAAATGGTAAGCTTATGGGTACGATGAATAATAGTTGGGATGGATAACGATGAAATGTACAAAAACGGGAAACGCTGTAAGCATGGACAGTGTTGCTCAGTCTTTAGAGCATCGGACTCAGAAAAAAGAGGTGGCCCTGGGTTCAAGCCCCAGTCACGTCACTTCTTTTGGTGGTTGATAAGGGAGTATCACTCCGCGGGAGGGAAACAGGAAACCACGTACCATGCTTGCCATGCAGTCGTTGCTGTCGAATCTCCCTCTAAAAATAAGGCGCTCCTGGCTGATGACATGGAAATCGAGATCAGCGCCCCAGCCATTAACTTCATGAAAGGAAAGGCACCAGAAATGGCCCAATCATGAAAGCGCGAGAATAATCATCACTCAAATAGTAACAAACGTACTTTTTCCCATCCTGTTAGTCTAATTATTCCTAATTTGACCATCGAAATTATGAAGCATCTACATTGTATTCATTTCCATTTCCTAACATCATTCATGAACAGCGGCCATGCTGCCCCGTTACTAAAGTTAAGCGTCGTCGAAGTGACATAACATGGTGAAGAAGTTTCCTGCAGTGGATTTTTCAAAGACTACCAAAGATGACTGACTCAGATTGCTTTGTTCAGGCTTGTACTACGTATCTGCTCAAATGGTTATGAACTTCGACTCTGTCTACTGCCATATTATGTGAGCATCATCTGGCAGTATGGCGTTTCTGAGAAAACCGTAACAATGAGTGAGTGAGTGAATGAATGAATGAATGAATGAATGAATGAATGAATGAATGAATGACTGCAAGAAAGAACGTCTTAAAAAGTCCAGAGCAAAGGCAGCCAATCAAAATTATCCAATACCATATCCGACGCCCGATAAGGCGAAGTGCTTACACCACTGCTGTACAACGTCGCGAATGTCTAGGGCATGCGAACGGATGTCGTCATAACAAGCCAGACAGAAGCCCAAACAGCTACTCCTTGTTATACGATGGTTCAACTTACGGTATTTCGACTCTACGATAGTGCGATAGCGATCGCGAGCGTAAACATCCAATACATTGTTTAGCAACGTAGCATACAGTATCGATATCATAATCATGATCGATGATATTTAAAAAATTTGAAAGACAAATACAGGATGCTCTTGCTTGCTATAAAGTAATTTACAATGAAAAGAAGAAACAAACTGTCCAGTCAAAACTTGATATCTTCCTGAAGAAGCAAGTGCCATTTCCCGAACCATCAACAATTGTCGACGACCCAGTGCCTTCTACGAACCATGCTCGCGAACGCGAATCATTAGAAGAAAAAGAAACTGATGATCTTGTCGCTACAGGCCTCCTCCTCAGCATAATGTTGCAGCAATTAATGTCAACTTTTCAATTACTGGTATCTATTTGGCTACAGCACTTACACATTCATTTAATTATTAAATGACAGCAGTCATTTATTTGTTTATCATATCATATTCATACCCGACTTAACTATCTTTTCAACTTATGATCAGTTCGATCAGTTGAAAAGCACCTCTACAATCAAACCAAGAAGAATTTTCAGGTATCGAATAAACCAGAATGGGGAGTGGTAATGTCATGCTGGCTGATGCGAATGCTTCTTATGGCTAAAATTTGCCGTGAATGACCCAAAAGTTAACTGTCCAGTGTAATAGCCAGCGTTAGGTATAAACTGCATTGGTGCTGCTATTAGCAACCTCACTTGGAGTATACGGACAGAATCATTTTAGTGAACGATTTTGGCAATGGCCTGGAAGCCTTAATTTCTGCCTTAATGGTGCGTGCAGCAAGGCAGAAAAAAGTTGGTAAGCCAGAACAAGGTAGCCCAACAGGTACACAGGTGATGAGCAGTGACTGACGCCGTTGAGATCAAATGGAATGACACGACTGTGGAGAAAATAATCCGTTTCAAGAAACGGAGTTCCCTTATCCTCAAGGTCCGATGATATCGTTGAGATAGGAATAATCACATTCTGAAAGCTGCCTGATTGACAAAGCGACCTGAAGACCTACGACAGCGGTGCATCTCATGGTTAGGTAAAACCGTTCGAAACAAGGAAGACATAAAACGGAATTTTCTTCTATGGTTTGGGGGGGGGCGTAAAACAAGAGGTCCGTCACACGAATTGCAAAACCTACTAGAAGTAGATCTACTCACACCAAGGAGTTTATACTTTACCAGAGCAACTATTGTTTAAAATATTCTGAAGAATCAACTGTCATATATCAGGAATCGTTACCTAAGGACAAACGGAGCTGTTAAGCCTACTGCACCATGGGGACAGTGAAACAACGCCAACAAACATAACATGAGGAGATTTGTCAGGAATTGCGTCATTACAACAAAAACCATAAGCCTTCATCTCTGACGAGTGAACAAACAAGGGTGACAAGAAAAGCAGAAGGGAAATTGGAGAGAGAGAGCAACTGTTGATTGATAACTCCGCCGTTGCCAGTCCCAAGCCCCGATGAGAAAGAAGGAGCGCTGCAGACCGTGGCAAATCTCCGAAAAATTTATCCACCTGGCACTCATGGTATTGACGCCATCGAAAATCATACCGGTTCGGTCGTCGCCCGGGTTACCAAGGGCCGCGCAGGCTGTCGCGGGACTGGCGCAGAATGCGAAAAGTCGGAGAGCAGAATCTGCTCATTGCCCTCTGCCAGCGGGGGGCATAGCAGCACAACTACGGCTGACGAACACCGACGCAACGACGACGAACATACAAGTCAGCAAAGGAGTCGCTACCCGCTCTGAACGGAGGAGGCAGACAGTGCGATGCCATTGTAGCATGTTAGAAAAGACTCAATGAGAACGACACCACCAGTGGGAGCATAAAGTCGGAAATTGGAACATATCCCCACTCAGAGAAAAAGAATATGAATTAGTTGACGAGA